GGGAGGAAAGGCCAACAAATTGTTGACAATATATGACCTCCATATGAGGTCGGCCCAGACTCTAGGGGTTTTTAACACAAAACTAAAGACTCACTTCTTCTCCCTGGCATTCTAGTCCGAGCAGAGTATGACTACGGACAATTCCCTGTGTTGGATTTTTATATTTGTTGTGGTACATTATTGTCTTCTGTTCTTTGCGAATGTAGTAATGTGTTATTTATTATTTGCATGTACAGCACTTTGGTCTCAACCAAAAATCGTTTTAAAATGTGCTTTATAAATAAAACCTGATTTGATTTGATTTGATGTTGACAACATCAAAAAAGCAGAATATTGCAAGCCTTTTTTTAGCATGGTGACAATAAGTGATTTCATCTCATCAATGATGTGTATTGTAACCCTGATTATCAGTAACCATAACCAGATGATGAACCTGACAAGTTAAAAGGTGAACTTCAGTAAGAGATACAGTTTAAATGTGTCAACTTCCTGTTTCGCAACAGTGTGTACATTTGGTTGTTACAGCAGCAGAGGTACTTCTGAAAACACACATTAATTAAATAGGAACATCTTGTGTAATTAATGCCCGCAAAGATGAAGCTCCAACCTCTCTGTTTGAAGTAATCAAAAAACTGATAGGTTGCAATAAACAGAGTGTAAAGGGGAAGAGGAAACTCTACTTTGTTTGAAAATGTTTTCAGTCACACTCTCAATCTCATTCTCTGAACCATACGCTGATCTTTGACTTTTAAGGATGGAGGAAGAAATCGAGTATTCTACGGTTGTTTTTAGAGATGTACGTGCAGCTCCAAAAGGTAAGGGACTGTTGCTCTATTAAAAGTGTAGACTTTTTAATATCTATTTAAGGGTTCTGTGTGGGAGAATCAAACTGTTCTAGTCACATAAATAAGTTGTTTTCACTCGTTTGCAAGATTTCAAAAGCTCTGTGAATGAACACAAAGTTTGAAATGTAAAGTAATGTCACTTCTATGATGCACATTATCGTACATACAAGTTTAATTTACTTTTATCAACACCACAATTTCAAGTAATTGATTTTCTCCATAGTGTTGCTGCAGGAATTTGAAAGTGAAACAAGCACCAAAGCAGCAAATGCATCTTCCGGAAGTTGTTAAATCTCTTTAAACAATCGACAAAAAGGATCACACAGGTGTCCAAATGAGATACACAGTCTAGGGTACATCCAAACACGAGGCAACAAAAAAGAGGCTTACTCAAGACAGCAAAAAGACTATGATTTCCAAATGATACGTACTTAATTCTTCTGTCCTCTCTGATGTAATATCGAAAACTGTTTGACGTGCAGCACCACCACCATTGAAGGAAATAATTTATAATATTTGACCTCTTTAAGTGTCCCATCCTATAACGCTTGGAATGGACATTGACGTCAATTATCAACAGAAAGTGCTTTACCATTATTAACACAAGACATGTTAATGTATTGGAGTGAAGAATCATTCATATTAATCCAGTTGTTTCTTTGTGTCCTCGTGTTGTTATTCTGCTGTCCAGAAAGAAAAGAGGACCCAACTATTTCCGAAGTAAAACCTTCGGGGTCTGCTTCTACAGTACCAAGTGAGCTTTAAAAACAGTTTTCATTTCATCAGTAAAGTTTTACAACCTCATAAACGAAAACATATTATTTACTTGTTTGTAAAGTAGTACCAGGGTTGCCAACTCTCACGCATCTGGCGTGTGACACACGCTTTCACTCTCAATCTCACGCTCTCACGCTGCCCAAACTATTCTCACGCCAAAAACAAGATGAACCGGCGATCGTTTTTGGTTGGTTATTTACAATGTTGGGTTGACAGCTGCTCAAGCTGTCGATCCGCTCCCTCCCCGCCCCCACCACTCTTAACAACGTTAACCCCCGACCCGTATTGCGCATGCGTAGATCTAAGATCCAGTAGAAATGATAAAAAAGTGTCTGGTGCTTATTGAACAATAAGCACCAGACACTTTTTTATCATTTCTACTGGATCTTAGATCTACGCATGCGCAATACGGGTCGGGGGTTAACGTTGTTAAGAGTGGTGGGGGCGNGTCCTGCATTGGAAATGGTAATTAGCTAAACATATGTAAGTTTAATCAGGAAAATGTAATTAGAGATTAAAAGTAAAAATACCAATGCATACCAATCCCCCTATAACTGCTTGTATATTATATATTTTTTTATCATTAAACATGTTTGAAGCCTAAACAAGACATATTTTTGCTTTAAAAACCAACAAAGTGTTTCTGGAATGCAATTGGTTGACTAATTGAGATTTGTTTCTAACATATTTTGTAATATGTCTATTTAGTTGCTCTTATTTTACATCTTAATTTTTCTGACTATGTATGCACAACTATACACCAAAGCACATGTTGTGTGTAAACCTCAGTGGTGATAAACCAGATGCACTGCCTTGCTTTTCTGAACAACCTTTTATATGTTTCTAAAAAACACCTTAACGGCTCATCATATGTTTCTTGTCATGAGTGTGAATAGTCATTAGGCTAACATTTGTAAATTCAATTGTATATTGAAAATAAATCTCTCTTACCCTAGAGTGTCATTACGTCCATCAATCCAACCCCAGTCTTTGTTATTAGTTGTATTCAACCCGAGCCAGTATCCATGAAACTTATCGTAGTAATACTTTGTGTGATTACTGATGAATTCCTGTAAGTCGTACAGAGAGAGATCATCAGAAGCATGCACAGTGTAATAGATTACAACTTTTCCCATTGCACTTTGGATGTAAATATATGTTTTAAGTTCTATTGCTAGGTCTGAATGTTCATGTTATGTCTACATTTCAATTGAAACACAAATAAAAACTTGATTAACTTTGGCTGCATGCTGTTAGAGCTCACCTGTTCATGCAGACTATCGATAACAACCAGATCTGCAGCTTTGTTTCTGCAATGCGTTTGGCTCTCTGGCGCTGTCATCCAAGGAGAATCTTCATTGTAAAACAGGTAGCACTTCTCCTCAAACTGAATCCAGTCTTTCAGGCACGGCTGACACTCTGCATTCATGAAAAAAAAAGGATAAGTTCAAATCTGTTCTTTTAAAAACACACAAACAGAAACAAAGATATAGGAAATTGAAAATGATGCTCACAAAAATTATAATGAATGTGCTTTCTGTTGCAGTTTGAATAAACCACAGGTGTTTTCAATACCTCTCCGCTAACTCGACAACCTAATAAAATGATGCGGTTTATTTTACAGTTTTATTTTATCCAACTCAAAATGTGTTGCTGGTAAAACCTTCAAGTCAACAACTGTCTTTAGATGCATAGGGGAATATTGTGATACATTCAGGGCCATTGTACTCTTCATTATCCCAACGTCTTTCTAAACAAATTGATTTTTGCAACAAGCTTGTATTTTAAGATGAAGAACACACTGGTGCGTCAACATAGCACGATGCACCTACCTTTATCTGGGCAGTATTCGTAAACGCGGAAGGTGTCAAACCTCAGGATTATTGACAGCGTCCAGTTCAGGTTGTCAGTGACTCTGCTCAGCTGCTCCGTCTCTCGCTCTAAGAGGTTTCTCTCCGTTATCAGCTGCTCATTTTCTGCTGTGAGGACGCTGAGGTTTGATTTCTGCTTTGTCATCAACACACTGACTGTGGCGAGAATGAGAAGTACACATCAAACACTCAGACAAAAAACTGTGGTGCATTCCCTGTTATAAGAGAAGCCTTATTTTCCATACAGTGTTTTTGTAGACTGATTTTCTACCCAACTTACTTTCCATATTTTATAGTCTTTAAAGATCATATTAAAACAGAGAAAACATTCTAAAGTGTTATTGTCATATCCACTGTTAACCAGTTCAGTTTTTGTCAATGAATGTCTAGTAATAGTCTCCTACAACAAGGCAACATACCTTTATAACATAAATACATAAATAAAACAGTCCAAGAGACACAATGGAGCAAGCAGAATGCAGGCATAAGACACATATAGACATTTCAATTGAAATAAAATATATATTTAAATCTAATGAATACTGTATACTGTAATATTATACAATAAATAATAATAATAATAATAATATACATATGTGGAAAAAAAAGATGTGTGTATTAGATCTAACTGAACAATCATAACGAAAATAAAATTGATGACTGATATTTAAACAACAGCAGGCACAAATCTGAGAAATCTGAACTCACATGAAATAGCAATACCAACCCACACGGACTCAGCTGGTCTAAAATATATTAAAGCTGCCATGATTTGTTGACATGAAACTCACAGTAGACGATGGCACTGATGCTCGCCACCAAGAGGAAACACAGGATCCCCAAACACACCGCCAGCAAGTGAGAGTGAGAGCATGCAGCTGCTTCACCATCTGCTTGTAATGAGACAAATCATACTTCAATCACAGTTGTAATTATAACCAAGTGATATCAACGTGATGATGGGTGCACAGAAAATACATTTGTCATTTTGTAATACACTGTTGTCTCTTTTTCTTCAGATTAAATTATTTACATTTACGAGCACAAAACAAATCCCTTATCACCAACATGTTAACGTCTATAACCATCCAGGACATATTAAAGATTATTGATGTATTTTAGGCGCTTTTAATTTAGCAAATTGATTTGATACAGAAGAACGTCCATGTTTCCATTACAAAATGTTACAGGACAAAAGTAGCTTTCTTTCATTATCAAGTGTTAAGTCTTACAGGGTTGCCAACTTTGGGTACCTGGCTGGAGTGAGATTTTGATATCATGGGTTTAATTGTATGGGTTTAATTACACATATGCGCACTAAATGACTGCTATTGTGTCAGTAGCGGGACCTTAGCATATAGGATATATATATACAATATATACAAATACACAATATTGGACACAGACTATAAAGGGCACAAAGTTTCATTCACTAATGAAAGTCCAACACATGTTTGTTTCCACTGTTTTATTGTGTGCATATGGCCTGTCGCGATAAGCAATTCATTGACTTATCGTACGATAAATAAAAATGAACGCGATACATTGTCATTTACATGAGGATGTGACTAGCAGTTTGAAAGGATGTACTTGAATTATTATTATATATTATCATTATGTCAGTTGTCTAAAATGGTCATACAACGGTGCCGACAATCTTATCGTTTATCGCAATAATTTCCGGGAAAATGTATCCAACAAAATTAATTATCGTGAGAGGCCTATACATGAAACACAAACACACCTACAGACTTACTCCAAACTGCCAAATATATTAATGAACAGACTCTCACTCTCATAGAC